CCTGCTCTGAGTTCTCCCGATGATTGGGATGTATACGCCAAACAAACCCTTTCCTCTCCCAAAAGTTGCTTGTGGGCAGTTTCCTGTTACAGTGACAGAAAACACAGGAGATTGGCATACACCCTGGCATCACGGAGTTGTGCCCAGGCTGAGCATGAGGGAGGCGGGTGGTGGATCAGGCTGTACTGTGCCCTGTGGGTTGCTCTGGGGCTACAGACTTCATCAGATCCCAAGAGTAACTGCCTCTTCAGGGATGTTCCTACCCCTGTTTGATAAGCGATGTTCTTTTATGCTGCATGAGGGGATCAGAAAGGATTGAAGCAGAGAGGCAGACAAAGGAAGAGCTGCTTGCTCAGTGTGAGCCACTGCAATCATGTTCCTCGAGAGATACAGCCAGTGGCAGAACTCTGGAGGGGGCAGGTGCAATTTTGGCACCTGCAGGAAACATTAGGAGTGACTTCTGTTTGGAGAATTATTTTTCTAAAAAAATCACCCTGTTCCTGAGACTCAAAACAGCCCCTGGTACTGTTGAAGAGACGTAGTCTGGGTGTCTGGCTTGATTTTTGCATCAGCTACCCATGGGGGTTAAAGGTAGTTGTGGCCCCAAGCCCAGGCTTGATCAGAGGCAGAGCCCTGCCGTTCCTGTCTTTGCTGCTCCTCTAGTGTTTGATTTCTTTTCCTGAGAGGATTTTCGCTGCAAGATAAATTAGTACTGAGATGACAGTGTAGACTCAAAAGCAGGAACGCCAGCTGAGTTGGACGGCTTCGCACATATCCATCTTTCATCCTATTGATGGCTTTCCCTGACAGTTCCCTATGGTCTGCCTGCTATCTGCCAGGCATCTTGTGCTTCCAAACAAAAGAGGGCTGTGGTGGATGTTAGTCACTAATAATGCCCTCTTTCCTGACTCCAGTATCTGTGTCCAGTAAGCAAAGTGAACAGAAGGCTAGTCAGTGCTTATCCCCAGTTTCTTGCTGTAACCCTAATAGTCCTCGATAACAGGCCTATGTTTTGCAAATATGTTTGAAGCTTAGCTTCAGTGCTGTTGCATTCTGGGTACCCTGAGCTTCCATCTGAACAACCACTTCTAGCCCTTCACACAGCCTGAGGAAGCAGCAAGCTCTTCCATGTAGAAAAAAAAAATGCAGTCCCTATACATTAAGACCGATTAACTAGAATATATAAAGAACTCAAAGCGATACCCAAGTTAAAACAAGTTAAAAACCGCCAACAAATGCATGAAGATTATTCCTCTAACCATCAAGGAAAACACCAGTGAAAACTATGCTGAGACTGATCTTGCGTTACCCTAGACAGAAGAGCTTGCCCCAAGAAAACCAATGACAATGAAAGCTGGTGAGGAGTTGTGGGGAAGGAGTCTTCATGCAAGGCTGCTGGGGATGTAAATTAGTGCGACCACTATGGAAATCAGTGGGGAGGTTCTTCCAAAGCTAGGAACAGGATGCTTGAATGATCCAGCTACCCTTCTCTTGGGGATGTGCCCAAAGGAATCTAAATTAGCATACCATGGGGACACCTACTCACCTTTGTTGCAGCAGTATTCACTATACACCAGTTATAGAACCAACCTAAGGGTCCATCAAGATCTGGATAGATAAGGACATGTAACATACATCTAATCTACGCACATAAAACAGTCGAGTTTTATGTGTAAGCAAGAATGCACAGGGAGATAGATAGAACTGCACATCACGTTAGATGAATTAAAACAGAACCAAAAATAACCCAAAATCACATATTTTCTCTCATATATGGGATACACACACACACACACACACACACACACACACACACACACACACTTGCAAGCTAAAGGGGACTACTTGGACTATTTGAGAAGAGGAAGGAAATTAGTGGACAGGAGGGTAGGAGAGGGTAACAGATACGGAATACGGTTACGTCACATGCTCCACTTGAATGAACTGTCATAATGAAGCCCATCACTTTCTATGATGAGCATACATTAATTAAAATAATGGAAATAAAACTGAGCAATAGAAAGGGGAGTACACTAGAAGCTTAATTTGCAGCCATGCAATTTCCTTTATAGTTATTCTTCTTCCATTTGGAAATCTCTGGAAACTTGGATTCTTCCTCAAGGGTAGAAGAGGCTGGCCAGAGTCTGGAGGTGTTACCCAGGGCTGACAGTTGGTCATGTCATGGACACCATGTAAACGGTCTCTGAAGCTGGAGGTTCTTGCTCCTACTCCTTTTTCCTGTGCTATGCCACTTATGCTTTCTTCTCCAGAATGATTTTCCTGAAAGCTCCTGTTTCTAGAGGGTCATTATGTTTTCTTTATCTCCATAGCCCATGATTATGTTGTTTTATAACACACTAATTTATATGGTTTCAGAGACCACAAGACTTGGCTGGTTCTAAGAAACATGTCCTAGACTGCCTACCACCAACTTTTGCCTCCTCCCTCCCCCATGTAAATTGCGTGGAGATACCCCTTGCTCCAGTCTGTGAACACTGTGCAGCTTTCCCCTTCCCTTCCTTTCAGCAATGACCCTCCTACCCCCAGCCTCAAAATCTTGTCCTTTAGATGCTCACAAAATCCAATGTGGCAGGATTATATTCTAGAACTCTACAACACCTTAGCCAGCCCCAGCTTCCATGTGTAATAAACTAGGAGAATTAACAACAGACAATTATTTCTCACTGTCTGCTGGCTGCAGGTTAAGGTGAAGAACTGATTGGGATGGATTCCAGAGAGGGCTGTCTTCTGGCTTATGGGCAGCCAACCCACTTTGAGGAGCTGAACTCACGCTTTCTCACTTTACAAAGCCTTGTCTTCTAATGCCATCATAGTGGGGATCGTGTTAGATTTTAATGCATGAACTTTGGGTACCAGATGATGCAAAATAAATCACTGATCCCATAGCAAAAGTGGGAGGTGTGCCCTGGCCTGTGACCCTGAGTTCTGCTCTCCTTTGACCACTGAAGTCTTTGATCCTCAGGAGTTGTACACAGATACCCTCTGTCTGTGTACTCTAAGGACTCTTTCTGATTGGCCTGTGACCTGGTAGGCTACTATCACCTACCACACAGGTGTGGAAGGAGGAGATGGCGATGGGGTGGGAGTCTGTAATTTCTATGTTTTACATTTCCCCCATTCTTGAAGATCTTTCATGAAGCTGAAGTTCTGTCTTCTGCTATCTGCCATGAACCTGGCACAGGCTACTCAATACATCATACATGTCAGTCACTCTATCATCTTCCGTGTTTCTGCTCCTTCAAAAGCACAGGCATTTTCACCCACAAGGGGAAAATCCACGACCAAGTGATGTCAGGTACCCCATAAGACCTTGTGTTGTTAGGTCTTAACAGATTTTTGGTAGAATTGAAAAATGATTTTACAAATGAACAAAGTAAGTATCAAATATATTATTTTCACTGTACAAAGACTAACCGGCGTCAACATGGCTTACTTTACCTGAGTATTTCAAGGACTCAAATTTTAGAAGATTTTACTATTTTAAAATATGCTGATTTTACAGTTTGTTTTTAGTGTTTTTTTTTCCCCACACAATTCCCCCAGAACACAGAATGAGGAATTTCAAAGATTATGCAGTAGATAGGGATAAACTATTTTGCAAAATAACCTCGTTTCAGAATTGTGGTATGCTTCTCTACTCTAACGTTCAGCAAATAGCTGGGAATTCCCATTTTTTTCTGGTAGAATAATGGACTAAAGTAAATCCTTAGTGAATAGGATAGGTACTGACCCATATAAAAAAGTCTTTAAATTACATACACACACCCTAAAAATCAAGTCCTCCTAAACAGATGTGGTTTCTTATATATCAATAGCAACACCACTTTAAAGCAGGAAAAGTCTGGACAAATCCTTGTTGTCAGGAGGAAACCAAAGCCAACTAGCCACAAAAAGCTTATCAAGGCAGGAGGTGGTGGGCACATGCCTTTATTTCCAGCACTCTGAGAGGTAGAGGCAGTTGAATCTCTATGAGTTTGAGACCAGCCTGGTCTACAAGAGCTAGTTCCAGGACAGGTTCCAAAGCTACAGAGATACCCTGTCTTGTAATAACAAAATTAAAAAAACAAACAAAAAACAAAACAAACACACAACAAAACAAAACTAAAAAGCTTATCCAATAGGAAACTAATCAGAAAGCTATACATAGCTACACAAGCTTTTGTTAATGAGCATTACTCAGCGAGAAATGGTCCACTCTGTGTTCTTTGAGTGTTCAGTGACCCAAGTGTAGAGAAGACTTCACAGTGAAGAGCCCTCTCCCACCCACTAGGTCAACAGCACAAACCGTAAGGCAGCACCCATGCTCCATTCATGCTAGAGCTCTGTTGTTGAGCATGAGGTATCCAGTGGCTATCTATTTTTTTCCCTTTCTTACATTTATTTATTTTACTTGGGGATGGGGTAGAGGGAGAGCAGGGCGGGGGAGGAGCATGAGAGGTAAGGGGAGTACATGAACCACAGCTTGCACGTGGAAGTCAGAGGGCAACTTGCAGGAGTTGTTCTTTGATCTTCTCCTTCTGTTATATGGGTTCTAGGGATTGAACTCAGATGGTCAAGCTTGGCAGCAAGCACCTTTACCAATAACTACTTTATAAAGGAAACCTATAGCTGAGCTAGTTTTCAGTGAAACACACGAAACAGGCTCTCATAAGAATATCTGCAAGGCCATGCACTGAACTCCTTGACAGTGGGATCAGTGCATAAAATCGTGGGTACCAGAGCCTGAGGTCAGTGACCTGGGAACCAGCTCCTCAGAAGAATGCTCGCCTACACCCAGGATGTGGGGAGCCCCAGATGACTGCTGATAATTTGCTGTCATTTTCCATTCTTTTCAAAAGTATTTCCAGTGCTGAAAACTAGAAGTATCAGCTACAGAGAAACCTGCTTGGTTTTGCTCCGAGACAAGTATGCATGAAACAACTGAAAAGCGCAGCCCCCAAAGACCTACGTAGGGAAAACAAAGCATTCTTCCTCCTTACTTTTCACTGTGAGGTACATGGACTTGCTGACGTCCGCGCCCACATCGTTGCTGACCTTGCAGAGGTAGTAGCCACTGTCTTCTTCCACAACGTGCTTGATCAAGAGTGAGCCATTACTCAGGACCTGGATTCTGCCATTCAGGGCAATTGGCTGGAACTGGGGGACCCCAGCACCTGGGAGAGAATCATAAAAAAGAACCATGATGCCAAGGAGTAATCATTAATCTTCACTGGCAGCCTAAGATGTCACCGAAGACTTCCCTCTGGGTGTGTCTGTGAAGCAGAGAAGGGAAGGACACTGTGTGGGGAGGGTAGTCCTAGGAACTAGGACCCTGGACTGAATGCAAAGGGGGAGGCCAGCTGAGTGGCAGCATTGCTTCTTGTCAGTTTCCCAGTCTGCTGAGATATAAGGAGTGCCAGACACACGCCCCACTGCCATGAACTCCTTGGTGTCCACCCTACGGTAGACCATATCCTATCAGATAGCGAGCAAAAATCACCCTCGCTTCTTTACCCGGCTGCTTGTATTTGGTGACAGTAGTGACACAAGAACGGGGTGCACAATGAGAACAAACACATTAGCAGCAAGAAAGAGTTCTTTTTGGTACACGAACACCTAACACACCTCACACGGCAGTCCTGGGATATGCCAAGTCACACCTTCTTCCCTGCAATATGAAAACCCTTCTTTAGAGAAAACCACGTTTACTTAAAATGAGGTTTTTAAGAGGATGAGATCGAAAAGTAGGAGTGCTTACACACATTTTCCCCATAAAATGCCAAATTTGATGAGCGTTAAGCAGCTGATAAATTATTCGAAGAAATCATAGTTAGAGCAACCCCAGAGTAGACATTGCTCATCTTGTGAACAAAAGCCCTGTGTTCTCGGGATTGAATGGGAATGTAGACAGGAGAATGGCCCTCTGGGGACATGGCATTCACAGCCCTACCTTGCTGCACGGGCTGGAGGCCACAAAGGGCACACCGGCACTCCTTGGTTGGCTTCTTACAATGGAGAGCCACAATGCATCATCAACACCTAGGACTCTGACGTTGTTGGGGTATGTGAGTCAGGTTATTGAGTGAAGAAAGTGTTAAAACCCTGTTGCCCAGGAGTGTCTGCAGGTGCAGATGCTAAACTCAAGGGAAAGGTCTGGATGAAACTATTTAGGGAAGAAAGGATCTTAGGAATAATACAGGAGAGGGAGAAGATTCTGACGGATGTCTAAGCAAACAGTGGCTTGGGGTGACCTATCACACTGACTGGGGTGTGTGGGGAAGATGTGGCCCAGGTCATTCAGATCTCCTCCTTGCCTCTCTTCTTTACCCTGTGAGTTTGGGGACTGGGTGGAGATTTGGCATAAGAGTTGATTTTCCTAGAGGGAGCTCAAGGAATGAGCCAAAGACAGGAGCCCCAGAACGGGCCTGGAGCTGACGGAGTCTGCTATGTCCACTTTTCTTCCACGGGAAACTTCCAACACCGCACCCAAGAACACTGGACTGCATACATTGACTGTTCTTTCCCTAGCATTTCTGCATCAGGGACCTCAGAGCTGGGTCTGAGCCTCCCCAGGAGACCATGGAAATGAATACAGTTTCTGGGAATTTTGAGTAAGAACAAACAGAATCACTGCAGGGTGGTTTCTCTCAAGAACTGCTGGAGAAGACCTGTAGCAACTTGAATTAAGAGGCTGAAATGGGGCTGGAGAGATGGATCAGTTGGTGAAAGAGCTTTCTATGCAAGCATGGGACCTGATTCTTAGCACTTACACATGACGTCAGGTCCAGGGTGTGTTCCTGTAATCCCACAATGAAGAGGCAGAGACAGAAATGGAGGATCCCTGGAGCTGGCTGAGCAGCCAGTACCCTGGGTCTGACCAGACCCAAATTCAGTGAAAAATCCTTCTGGGACAATAAGGAAAAGAGCAACACAGGAAGATATTCAGTTTTGACTTCTGACCTCTACATGATGCATATTAAGTAATCAAGCCGGCCCGCAAATGACAACGCTGCTGACAGTGTCCTAAGATGATGGCCCCAAACAAGTCAGGCAGGACTCTGACTGAGTAAACAGAAACCTAAACTCAGCATTCCTCAGGAACCTCCTAATCTCAGGAAAAGAATCCGATTGTTAATTACCTCTGGCAAAAGACTTCTAAAACCTGATTAACTCAAACAGCCTGCAACAGATCAAAGTCCCCACACTAACTCCCAGGCTGTTCTGGTGGCCCTGCCACCTCTCTCTGCTTCCTTTTCTGACAAAACTGACAAGATTTCCCTTCCTTGGCCAGCTGCTCTTCTCTACCCTCTGAGGCAGCCTGGCAGCTCGTCCCCCTTCACACGGCAAGTTGTTCTTTCTACCCACGGAGTGTTCTAGTTCTGTGGTTTTGTTGTGCTTGCTGACAACAAACACATGCAAACAACACCACACACATACACATATCCACATAAATACTTTCCTCCACACAGACATACATTATACACCCCCCACATAGACATACATACCCAACACACACAGACACTCATATACACACAGACACCCCCACACACAGACACACACACAGGGTCAGACACACACACAGACACACTCATGCAAACACAGAGACACACCCATACACACAGACACACTCACATACACAGACACTCTCATATGCACATAGATACACTCACACACACAGACATACCCATACACACATAGACAGACACACACACACTCATGCACACACAGAGAAACACCCATGCAAACACAGACACACACACACACACACACACACACACACACACACACACACAAACATACCCATGCACACAATTGAAAGGTACTCTGCTTCTGCTAGGGAGGAAGGAAACCAGAAAATGACGCTGTATGTCTGCTCAGCATCACAATTGTTTTCTTTAAAGTGAATCTGAACATTGAGGTCCCTGGCAACTAGGTAAACATAGTTGCAAACAATTAAAATGCTCAAAAATGAGATATGAGCCCTGTAGAGTAATTTATCTTTAGCACATGACAGAGTGAAGGGGTCATAGGTATAAAACAGGGTGGAAGGGAAGGACTGGGAAAAGCTGTGACCTACTTCAGTCTCCCCTGTAGACCAGAAGCTACTAGAAAGCTATGTGACTCACCCTTCAATAAAGCAAAGAAAAAGAGGCATAGGAAAAACAGAACTCTTATCAGAAGCAGAGGAAACCACTGGGCAGAGGCTAAATAATAGCTTGCTAATTTACATAAACAGATGGGAGAGATTCAGATGAAATATTAAAACTATTAAAAAGAGACAAAGCAACAGAAAAGTAACTGCAACTATTATGTGTGCGAATTATATTCATGAAGCTTATTAGCAGAGTGGACACAGAAGAGGAAATGACTAGGTCAGCAGAATTTATTCATTGTACAACAAAAGGAACAAAGGAGGGGAAATACATGAACTCATTCAAGACTCTCAAAAACTTGCACATTTTGAGTAATTATTGTCTTAGAAAAGAGAAAGAAATGGATATAAAAATAATTTTCAAATCAGAAAACTGATTTGATTTGATGAGCATTTATAGAGCTCCACACTCAGCAATAGCAGGACAGGTAAGTGGCAACTTTGTCTGGAGCAATTGCTGGAAGAGACAGTGCCTGAGCACCGAGAGACAGTGTTCTTGAGCACCAAGAGACAGTGTTCCTGAGCACCAAGAGACAGTGTTCCTGAGCACCAAGAGACAGAGTACTCAAACACTGTTAAATATACGCTGAAAGCCTAATAAGAGGTATTTGCAGGGGGCATTTTGGGAAATGTGTAGTTCAAGATCAGTGCACTTTTAAGAGTGCCCCTGAAGAATGTTCTAGTCGACTGTGGGGACAGAGTAAGAAAGTCAGTAGTGTGAGGCACAGGAGGAAGCAGAATCTGGCTTGCTTGTTGGCACCTAACCTCAGATGCTGAGCCTCCTGAATTAATGGGAGAAAAAAATCTGTTAAGTGAGGCTTTGATCTTGTGGCAGAGCAACTTGAGGGAACTCAGTCATGAGAAGAAACAGTACTGCGAGCTGTGAATTAGATTTCAATAAATGCTATAAGATGAAAATAATAGTAAATTCTTTATCTCTGCAGCAAAATTAAAATTGATGTCAGTGTAAAAAATATATCTGGACAAACTCTAAATCTCCAAGTATTTGAAAACTAGCAAAGCATTTCTTTTTTCTTTCCTTCTGTCTGTTCTCTCTCTCTCTCTCTCTCTCTCTCTCTCTCTCTCTCCTCTATTTTTTTATTTTATTTTTTTTTACAAACAGGTCACTTTATGTAGGCCTGACTGTCATATAACTCACTCTGTAGGCTAGGGTGGCTTGAAGTCAGAGATCTACCTGCCTCTACCTCCTAAATGTAGGAATTAAGGTATGGACCACCACCACCACCCAGCAACAATGCATTTCTTAACAGCTCATGAGTCAAAGATGAATGCACTAGAAACATTAGCAAGTATTTTGAACTGAATAAAATAAAAAGAAAATATATTAAAATGTGTGGTATATGAGTTAAAGCAGTACCTTTGTGGTCATACAAAGCATTGAATGCTTGTATTAACACTAGATGAGGAAAAAGGACAGAAATCAAGCATTTTGCTTAGGAAGATACTACAAAAAGATCAAATACACACACACAAATGAGGAGAAGGAAGAAAATCACAAGGAAGAAAGCTGGAACTAATGAGATAAAACAGAAAAACACCAGAAAAAAAAATCAACACAGCCAAAAGCTAGTCTTTGGAAGGGACAATAGAGTTGATCAAGAAGACAATAGAGTGGCGCACGCCTTTAATCCCAGCACTCGGGAGGCAGAGGTAGGCGGATCTCTGTGAGTTCGAGACCAGCCTGGTCTACAGAGCTAGTTCCAGGACAGGCTCCAAAGCCACAGAGAAACCCTGTCTCGAAAAACCAAAAAAAAAAAAAAAAAAAAAAAAAAAAAAAAAAAAAAAAAAAAAAAAAAAAAAAGAAGACAATAGAATAGATAGAAACCATAGCCAATTATAATAAAATAATCTGTGACTACATTTTTAAAAAGCCAATAGTAAAGTAGTAAACAACTTAGTGATATTAAATTTAGCAACTTCAGTTAAACAGATAAAATTCCTTAAGAAATGATCACATTTCACTAATTAATGAAAGCTATCTTATAATTTACCTACTGTGGT